CTTTGTAAAGCATTTTTGTACATTTTTATTTTGACTGCGCCACTGTCTCCTCTGGGCTTTTCAAGCTCCTTAGTACAGGGAGGAACACTCCCTGGTTCTTTTATGAGTCTGCCAGTAAACAGAACAAAATTGTCAGCCAAAAAGGAACTCGTTTTAGATACTTCATTTCCAAGCAGAAAAGTGTAATGATAAAGTTGTATATTCTCTACTTGGAAACAATGGTTAGGTTTCTTAAATCAACAATATTCCAGCTCCAAGGCAATGAATGTTTGGTGCTATGTCAATGGCTGAACTTCCAAATGTTAACAGTATATGTGTCTTCAGTGATCAGCATCCATGTCATTGAGAAAACAAATTATTTCCCAATACCAAGATGACTGACCATTTTGTAGCTCAGAGACACTGTTGCTCAGAGCTAAATCTTCATAAGGGTTACATTTCCTATGGAATTATTTACTGGCTTCAGGTGCAGGTTGCTCACCTACTCTAAGATCTAACACTATTGGATGTTGGGAAGTAACCTCTGGTTTATGGAATGTTGACCAAAAGTTCACAATTCTGTATAAATACATAATACATCAGCATAAGATTCCACTGTGGCCAATCATTATAAACAAAATTGTCACATGCCTTCTATAATTTAAATAATTTGAGAATTACAACCATGTGTCACAGTAGAAGGGAAGTACCCATAAACACTGAACCACTCAACAAAGAAGAAATTAATGATGCTTTCCGTGAATATTTTGAAGTTGTAGAATGATATGTTGACTGTATTAGTAAATCTGAAATAGCATTGTAGGGTTTCTGGATTGATGTGAGGATGTTTAAAAAAGAACATTATATTGAGATATAAGAATTTAACTCTGGAATTCAAAAGTAAGCATTATGACACTTTAATCACAATTTAATCATCAAGCCTGGGAAATAATGGTTTCCGTCAAAATAACTTTTAAAAGTGCCCCCATTTCTTTCTTTTAATTTTTTTCTTTTTCTTTTTTGCCTGTATCTATGTCAAGAATTCAGAAGGGAGAAAAGAAAAGGAAAAATGATGTTTTGCCAAAATGGGGCAGGTAGAGAAAATCTTCTCTTTTCAGTAGACAGCATTTTGAGACAATCTACTCATTGGGCAATAGTTAGAGGTGTTTGGTGTATGAGCACTGTTTGTATTGGTCTAACATAAAGTCAACGATGGTGTGAAAACTAATGACAAAGTGGGGGCGTATAACTTCTGTCCACACACGTATCCTGCCTACCACTCTCATGGTTACATTTTATTTGGTTTCTTAAAAGCAGATAGATTTGGAAACAATTTCCTTGCTATAAAATTGAAGCTGAAATTCAGTAAATATGAGATGTAAACACTTTAGTCCTTGAGCACCTTGTCCCTTAGCATTTCTTCTTTCCATGAAACAGATGAAAAATTTGGAAATACAAATGGTTAAAAATAAAGAAGAAGAAAAATGAAGAAATGTATACATGGAAGAGTTAGTATTAAAGAGACAACTTCAATAACTGAAAATTGAAATGGCCTGAAAGTGAAAAGTTTCTTCAAAATGAAGAAAACAATCAGCAAAGAGAAAAGGCAGCCTACAGAGTAGAGAAAATCTTTGCCAAATACACTGCCTTCAGCAGAATATAATCTGAAGTCTATGAAGAACTCTAAACACAAAACACCAAAAAAGTAAGTTATCCATTGTCAATATATATGCTATTTAATTGAGTAGATAGTTCTCAAAAAAACACATATGGATAATAAATATTGGGAAAATAATTGAGCAATGTTATGGAACTGAAAATACAAACTGGTTTTGGATTCTGTCTATGACTAGTCAGAATAGTTATCATCACCAAGAGAACAAATAAGAAATACTCATGAGAATGTGAGGAAGAGGAACCCTTATTTCCTTCTGGTGAGAATGTAGTTGTTGCAGACCTCATAAAATCCATATTAGTGTTTCCTCCAAAAACTGAAGATAAAGCTGATGTACTACTTCTTCTATAGACCCAAAGAATAAGCCAGCACACCACCAAGATCCTTGCATATCCAATATCTATTACTGTACTATTCACAATATGCAAGGCATGGAATTGGAATTGGCCTAGATATCCATCAAAGGATGGATAAAAAAATCCATAGCAAAATTTAATTTAGTTATAAAGAAGACTGGAGATATGACACTTATAAGGAAATAGGTAGAACTGATGATCATTATATTAAGTGAAACAAATTATATTTAAAAAGGGAAATATCAGTTTTCCTATAATATGTAGAGTCTAGACTATACATGAAGAGGTCTATGTGAGGAAGTGATAGCTCTAAAGCAAGGCGCAGGGAGAACAAAAGAGGATAATAGAATGTATGTGGCATGAAAGCAGAGCCAGGGATGACTTAGGGGAAGAAAGAGGACCAGCTGAGGATGGGAAGAGCAGTGGGAGTTAAAGGACAAAGTAAACTGATGTATGTGAATGAAAGTGTTGCAATAAAACCCATTTCTTTGATTACTAACCAAAATATTCATTTAAAAGATTTTCCAGTAGGCATAAGGTAGATTTTTAGCAATATGAACTAGTTTGTCACACCTCATGACCACAATGAAATGAAAATAAAGAAACAAGCTTCTTTAAGAAAACTGAAAATTAAAGTTATTTTTCTGAATTACCAATAATAAAAAGTACAGCTATAATTTGTAATAGTTTAAGAAAATGGTATTTAAAATTGTATTTAAAGGATTTTAGTGGGTAGCAGTTTTAAATGGTAATTGATTGACAGACCTTGGAAGAACAAGGAATTTGAAGACCTCTGCAATCATTTGAAGGCTTTGTGTCCAATTTTATACTCAATAGGCTATAAGCTAGCACATTTTGGTGCTTGTGTTGATAATGTGGAATCACCAAAACAGGCAAGGAAAGTACAATGTTGGTATACTTATTTGCTTATAAAATATTGTATTTATAATGATCAAGTAATTTAAATTTTAAGAACTTACTCAAAATATTATTTGATTTGATTTTTGTCTCATTTTTAAAGTTAATGCTCAATATTCTCTTTCTTATGATGGGTAAGGAATGCATTCTTGTCAGAACAACCTAAGACAGGCTCAGTCTTGTTAATGAAATAAAAAAGGTGGAGAAGCAGAGAGCCTTTGGGGCTGCTTGGTAAGAATCTGACATGGGCCAAGGACAAGGAAGTAGGCTTCAGGCAGGAATCTGACTTTAGTCTAGAACAAAGAAATAATTTCAGGTAGGAATCTAAATCTTAGGCTAGAACAAAGAAGTAATTTCAGACAGGAATCTAAATTTTAGGCTAGAAAAATGAAGTAGGCTTCAGACATGAAATTGACCTTGGGATAGGACAGGGAAGTAGGCTCAGATACTTCGGTCATCCTGATAAGCCCTTAGAAACAGTGGTCACGGGAGTGGTCACATAATTGGGTTTAATGCCTTGCTTTTTCTTTGACTATTTATGTTTATTGTATTGCTTCTTAATTGACTATTTGCATTTATTGTATTGCTAGACCATCAACCTAGAACTGATCTTAATACATGCATGTAATCAAAATGGTATAAAAGCATAAAGGAGGAGGGGGCATGGGATAGGGGTGTTCTAGGGTGGGGAAATGGGGAAAGGGGGATGACATCTGTATTGTAAATAAATAAAATATCCAATTAACAATAAGAATATATAAAAATAAAATAAAAAAGAAAGTATAGATCTCGATCTACCTCATCATATGCAATTGTGCTTTAGCTACTCTGATTACTTAAATGACAGTGTTTTCCATGGGCTCTGATATTTGAAATCTTGGCCCCCCAGTTGGTGTCATGGTTTGCACAGGTTTAGGAGGTATAGTCTGGTTGGAAAAAGAATGTCATTGGAGGTAAGGTTTAAGATTTTAGATCCACTGCAATTTTTTAGCTTGTTCTTTCTCTTTCTTGCTTGTGTCTGACAATGTCAGTTGTCACCTGATGTCATTGGTGATGCCTCTGCTCTGCCATCACAGGCTGTTATTATCTAGAATTTTAAATCCCAATCAACTTATCCTTATAAATTAAAAAAAAGAAAAGAAAACAATCAACAAAGACAATCCTTCAAAGAATACTTGGAGTCTTGGTGTTTTCACATCCTTTTCCAAACAATAAAATATGTATATATAAGTCACCCTAGGGTCACTCTAGGGTATACCCAGAGCCATGGTATTTCCCATCTCACTGAGAGCAGACACTCAGACCCTGGAAAGGAGATTGGGTATTTTCCTTGTAGAAAGCCTGATATTAATCATGGTTTCCAGTATGTAAATGGATAATCAAATGCAGGCATGAGAGAACGAGAAAAAGAGAAAGTGCGAACCTTTATATATGCTTGCAGCAGCCTAAAACAAGGACCCATGGACTACTCCACAGCCATTTGGTGAACATCTGCTCCTACAATGCAGCTGCAGGGCAGATCATTACAGATATGTGGATTGTACTCTCTGACAATCAATTTAAAGCTTAGTTTAAGTGAAAGACCAATGCAAAAATATATATGTGTTCTTTAGAAAAGAAGAGCAAGGATGTAGAAAAGTTACAAAAGATTTGTCTGGCATGTATGAGGCCCAGGTTCAATTCCTACCACAGTAAAAACAGACAAAGAAAAGAAACACAAATAGCTAAGTCAATAGTCAAACAAACTAACCAGTCACACCTAGCTGCAGATAAGCACAAGATTCATATTTTTAACTCCTGTCTCAGAGAGGAAAACATTTCAATACCGAAGTATTTGATAAGAGTATAGAATTGCTCAAGATATCTTGTGTTTTTAGGATTCCCTATGAAAATTTTTGGCAATTCTCCCAGCAAAGCCACTGATATGATATCTTTACTGACTGCAAGAAACTTGTATTAACCCCTTGGAGATATTCCTCCAACTGCCAACATCTGTTAAAACTTGAATCCAACCTGAACTGAAAAAAAAAATGAAACTAAAAACAGGTGTTTACTTAACAAGCCACCATAAAATACTTACATGGCAGGGGAGATACAATGATCGTGAACGTGGTTTTCTCAGGTCGAGGCTTATCCACTGCATCCAGATATGCTGACCTCTGACATGTCCCAAATGTAGAAGACACACCTGCATCATTTGTGGCAATGGGAGATTATATTCATATTCTCTGTTAAAAAATAATACATCTTAAAATTGTTTCTTCATAGATAATAGCTATAGACATCTATTAGATTATAGGTAGTTAGATAGACATACACGGATCATATACATTTCTGGACCTTTGTCTTAGATGTATGCTGCAAATGATTATTGATATATGTGCATAATGTGTCTGTTGTGAAAGTAAATGCAAACACATCTCATTGTGACTTCACAAAATGTTCCTGGTACCTTTTCAGATGGACTCAACACCAGCAATTCAGAAATCTTAAACTGAGAACTAACGTATGGTAAAGAATTTTCTTTTTGTTTGCTTTTTTTTTTTTTTGAGACAGGGTTTCATGCTGTAGCTCTAGCTGACCTGGAACTTACTCTGTAGAGCAGGCTGACCTTAAACTTACAAAAATCTGCCTGTCTCTACCTCTCTGAGATTAAAGGCATGCACCATCACTCTCCAGCTAAGGAATATTATCTGAAAATCTCATGAATATCTTGTAATACCATGGTTCTCAATAAGAGATCCCAAACAGTAGCCACAGTGGCAGCTGGAACTCTTGAGGTGCAGGGCAGACTCTGAGTTTAATGAGCAGCCCAGGTGGTTGCAATGTGCCCGGGAGCATGAAAACCACTGTTCTCTACTAAGTGAGCATTTTGTGTATGCACTAACTTTATTTTACTTTTATTTTTGAAATAAATGTAGATTTATTTATTTATTTTGTTTTTGAAATAAAATAAAATGTAAATTATATTCATTTGAAGTCACAAATAATCCAAATGTCCATCTTCTCCAGGCAACTCAACAACTCTAATTATGAAAGAAAGTATTTCTTGTTCTATTAGCCCCAATTCTGTTAATAGAAAAACTAATTACATTGTGAAAATTGCAACGGGTCAAAAGTTCAGATGAAAGAGTGGAGAAGCAAATCAATGAGTAGACATTTTCTACTCAAGTGTCTAGAGAGCCATTACATTCTTCTTGTTTCTGATTTAAACCCTCTGTCAATGTTCCTAAGATTAAAGACTGATAATGGGAAATGCACATAGCTCCATATTTTCACTTGCCCTTGATGATGACTCTAACATTTGGTCTTATTAACATGCTATACACAGAACAAGTCATAAGTATGACTAACTGGACTATATTACCCATGAATTAGTTCACAACAAAAGAAGTCTTTTTTATTATTATTATTAATTATTATTATTATTATTATTTAAGACCTTTATTAACAGGTGCTTGCAGTTTGTTGACTTTTTTTGAAAAAATTCAAGTTGTAAACTTTATTATAAATTAAAAATGAAGTTCTTAAAAATCTCAACTTGACCAGATATGAAACAATTTAAAAACCATTAAAGGTGTATTGAGAAAAACCAGGCCAAAAAAAAAAAAAAAGAAAAATGAAACAAAGAAAAACCAGGCCTTTTTTTTTTTTCTTAAAAAACATGTTTGTCATTACCAAAAAGAGACATCTTTAGGTAAAAATAATAAAAATCCCATGCTGCATAGAGAATGCAGATAGTTCTAATGTTATCTGGTCAACGGGCAAAAAGCAAACACATAAGGTCTTCAGCTCCAATCTTTGTTCACTACTTATTGCTGGAATTTCATATTCATTTCTTCAATTCAATTAATCATAAGTTATTACATGTTTCACACAAAATGACATAATTTAGCCAATGTGATCAACATATGTCACATCCCCAAATAGAAATACTACTGAAATGTGATAAATATGGGGTAGGTAACATATATATATATAATGTTTTTGCATCAGTGAAGATTATCTAGGTATTTGAATTCCTGAAGCACAGAAATGGAATATAAAGCAAAAAAAATAAAAAAAAAACTGACATCTATGAGTATCCGTCTCAGTTCTTTCCTTCCTCTCTCAAAACTATAAACTGTCTAATGTAAAACTACAAATGTATAATGCCTCTCCTATTGACCTTAGTGGCCTCTTCCTCTTTCTCTTTTAGCGCCATTTGCTCTGGCGGCCTGGAAGTAACAGCAAAGGAAATGCTGACTTTGCAAGTTGTTGCTCTTCTTGATTCCTCCAGGCCTGCATCTCCTCTCCTTGCCCTCAAGCAGAGGCATGGGTAGCAGTCAAGGCTCTCAGCTCCTGAAAAACTGTGCCAAGAGCATCGATTGTTCAGCAAGGCAGATGCAAAAGTGTGTCTGGAACCAACATTAAAGCACTGACTGGGAAGAAAGGCCTCTATTATGACTCATACTAATGATCTTTACATTTTAATTAGAAATCCTTTAGTTAAGATTACTCACTAAAGCCCTAATAAGTAAGAGGGGTTTTACTTCCGCTCACTCTGCTTTTGGAATAGGAGAAAATAGCAATAAGCTGACCTGAATCAGGTCGAAGTAAATATCAAGAAAACTCATTAGAAATTTCTGATTTGCTCCAAGCTGAAACTACCAGAAAGTTCCACATTATAGCCAAGAAAACATAAGTTTACCAGTGAGAACAGGCTACCACACAAGTGTGAAGAATTCTTTCATGTCTCATATGTCTGTCTTCCTAACATGCACACACACACATTTTCTTTACATTTCTTATGCCTAAGCACCTACACTTTCAAAATGACTCTTGCCTTCAAAATATATAAATCTAAAGCTACGTGCTTGATCCAAAGTCTGAAGATTTCCACAGGTGTGAATATTTTTCAAAACAAGTTGAAGACTTTTACGTTCTTTACCTAAAACCACCACAAAACGCCTCAGTACTCTTAATTTTCTCTCTTGACCACTAGGACAATCAAGACCAAAAGTAGACACTAGAAAATGTTGTAAATTTTTCCTTAAACTGAAGATCCACTTTGGAATTAGAGAACCTGAGGTAAGAACTAACTAGTTAAAAATAAAATGTTCTTCTTCGGGAAAGGGTTCTTTGAGATTGTACTCCCCCACCATCTATGATATCTAAATGAACACCATCACTAAACTTAGACGATAATAAAAAGTCATCCAGTACAGCAACATCAATTCAAGTTCACGCTTATGCCAAGAAATTAATTTGCCTTTCTCTTCAGATAGAGATAGACATACCAAAACAAGATAGAAGTAAAGAGCTTCTCAATATTGTCAAATCATTATAACTTTCTTCTTGTATTTATCTGGTGACACAAGATCACATGTAGCCCAGGATGGCACTGAACACACTAAATATTTGTAGCCAAGTATTATATGGCTTTTCGTGGGAAGATTTGTATGAAAATCAGTTTACCCTAAATAGGGAACCAATAATGGATTGAAGAGATGATTTCATCAAAGTACTACTTGGAGAACCCCTTAGTTTCCTGGGGTTACTTACAGAGCATAAGTGACAAGAGACTACTAAGTGCATGGATGACTCCAGCACAGCAAATCATCAGAAAGCCTACCCTAGTTGACAAATACGAATCCCTAGAGCTCTCTACTTCACATGGAAGCAGCTGAGCAAGTAAGTGTCTCTGCTCCAGTCAGTTTTAACTGCTAATAGCAAGGTAGGGGCAGGTTTCAGGTACTTCCAGAGACTTGTAAAATGCTGCTTGATTCCTAAGCTTTGGAAGATTTGCTTACTTTCTAAATTGAGGCGCCTAAATGCTTAAATCTGGGAGAATTATTACAAAACAGGGAGACAAGCACTGAACATTTTATATCCCTGTTTCTAAGTGTTAGGATGCTGGTATGTGTCACTACACCTGACCAGATCAGTGAAATTTTAAGCTATATTTTGTCTCCTACTTAAATCTGTGGAGCAAGGATTCCTGCAGTGATGTATCCAGTAGTCCACATGGTCAATCAATAGATCTACAGGTAACATAAACGTTTTTGAAGAAAAAAATAATAGAACAATTATGTTAATTAACATTCGGGGAAGTTGTGAAATAAAATGCTTTGTTTGTATCACTGATCACTGATTGGAAAGTTGTGGGCCTTCTAGGGGTGTGCTGATCAGATCCTCTTACATATCCTTCAGCCAACAGAACGTTCTTTCTGTTTCTGATGGTGAATATTCTACCATTTATATTTATATAATTGTGAGCTTAGTATTTTCTCTTATAAGTTTCATGCAGAGAAAATGTTCCTATTTGAAAATTTGGATCAGTGACTCCAAAGAGGTTCAGTGAGGCATGAAGGTAATGTTGACAATTATAATAATTTTGAAGGCTCAGAACATCAGACAAATAAAAGGGCATGGAGATCCATCGCAAATGTAGAAGTTATTTTGTATGTATTTCAGTAAGTGGATATTCTAGTGTGACGATTTTGCATAAACAGATGAAAATGGAAAAGAATATCTGAAAGTGGATGTTTAGAGGAACAACATATCTATTGGCTCCCAGCCCACTTCCATTTTGTGTTTTGAAACTCCTTCCAAAAAATGTTATAAACCCGTTGAAGCTTCATGTTTTAAAGATAATAAATATCTGATCATGTTTTTGAATGAAAAAATAAGTTTGTTGCCTGGATAAACATGGTAAGTTACATCACACAGTAACTCTTCTCATGACCCTCATTTAGTTGTAGTCACTTTAGAGTACTTCTCTGTTAAACTATGGCCTTATGAGCCCACATCACCTTCAGCTAAAGTCAATTGTCTTTTCTACACTAACTCTTTCTTTTTGTTGTTTTTGTTCTTATTTATGCTTGGTCTTCAGGCACACTACCAAAAGGTTTCAGTAATAATTAGCAACTTCTGTCCTGATTGATAACATTTCTAAGGTCATGCAATTCCTTGGCATGCTTGCTGTGAGTAGCTGGAGCCTGTTAGTGCATTAAGGACCTCCCCTTCTGTTCCAAGTCAAGAGTTTTCAACATCAGTTGGTATATTTATAAAATGTTCTAAAGGTATCACTTGAGATAATTAAATGGCATTTCACCCTTTAATCTGTTTCTGTGGAGAATTACAGTAGATTTTCTGATGATGAAATGCCTAACATTCCTGAGATAGTTGCATCTTTAAATCACACCTCTCAAAACCTGGCACTTTCGTTGCCCGTGACTCACTTTGATTGC